TATTACTTATAAAAGTAAAACAAAATGCCACATCATTATCATTGCAATAATAAAATGACTAGAAAAAAAAAACAAGATAAATTGCAACGAAAATGAGAAAAAAAAAATACCTGAACTAAAAAAGTGATATACTTACGGGTACAACAAATAATAATTCATAAGTTGAATTAAAAAATTAACACAAAATAAAAATTTTAAATAAAATAATTATAATAATCACACATTTTCTTAACCTTCTTAATTTTTTTTTTCTTCACCTTAGGTCATTCAGACATTACATAATATTTCTTATTCTCTCACTCACTATTCATCACGTACATTCTTACTCTCTAAAACACGCTTGCCTTCTAAAAAGAATACNGCTCTGACAGTGGTATTCAGGGGCTCTTTTAGAATAAAAAACATAGCACTACTATCCGTCTGCTACAGCTGCCATTGGCACTGTACTTACACTAGAGCATACTATATAAAACCCATGTTTAAGGGCCTGTTTGGATAAATAGCTTGAGTAAAACATAAGCTAACATAAAACTAACATAACATTTGTCAATCCCATAACAATATAAACACTCATTTCTTATATTCGAAAAAAAAAACGAGATAAAAACTTTTATTTTTGTAATTTACATCGTAAAGCATAATGAAATAAACCGAAAACAACTTAGGAATGCATCATAAGCTCTTTTCATAAAAGTCTCTTAACGCTGAAAACAAGCTCTTTCAAACATATATCCAAAATAGATCGAACAGAACATTGATGCCACAGACTCACAGACCTAAAACCACAACAATAATAATCATAATAATAGTTAACAGTAAGGAAACATAGTGCGTTCTCGAGAATAGCATGACCAGCAAGAAAATTGAAAGGTGGAAACAAGTACGAGCGAAGCTACTAATCCACGAGTTTAATAAAAATGAGAAATACGAAAGCAAGAAGGCTTGAAGTTCAGCAGAGATGGTGAAAACAAAGAAGAGTGTTGGCCAAATGCATTTGAAAGGAGTAAAAATGGTACACGAAATTGAACAGGAATTAGGGTATTAGTTGCAGATAGAAGAAACGAAACTAAAAGAAACAAACCGAGGAACATAAAAAGCGTGTCTGCGACGGTGGATTGAATCGCTTCCTCGCTGCGATTGCGTTTCGGCAGAGAAAGGGCTTCCAAAGAACCTCTTTGTTCTGTCTTTTGTTAATTTATGCTTCACCATTTATTTTCAATAATAATAATAATAATAATAATTATTATTATTATTATTATTATTATTATATACAAATTGTATAAAACAAAAATATTTAATTTAATCTGGTCAAAGTTATCAATTAAATTTATTGACTTTTTATTTTTGTGAATAATCACATGATTCTCTAAATATGACTTTTATTATGTTATTTATTCATATAAATAATATGACTAAATATTGAAAAATTGACAATATTAAAAATTTGTAAAAATTGAAATACTTGATTTAACTTTTTATTAACGGTATGATTAAATTGAATAAAATAATAGTAGAATAACAAACAAATCATTAATAATAGTTCACTATATTTCACTTTTCACTTATTTGGAGTATTTTCTTAATTTAAACAATTTTATTATCTCAATTTTGTTTCTCTTTTTTTTACTCTTTTCCTTTTCATCCTTTAATATAAGCAAAATAGTTAAAAACATAATTAAATAATATTAAAACATATTTTTATAATACTAAAAATTAAATAAAATATAAATTTATAGATTTTTATAATTTTGAACATATGAAATTAATAAAATGAATTATCATAATTAAATTAAAATTTTGAAAACATTTATCAATATAATAAAATAAAAATAAAATAAAAAATATTATAAATTATTTTTTTAAAGATTATTATGAAAGAAGGTGTGAAACTAACTTTTTTTAATTAAATAAAAATGTATTATATGACCATTTAGTTAGCCATCGATCAACCATACTCAAATTATTTAATGAGTCATCAGTTAACTTATGGACTACGAACTATATTCAGATTATTTAATGAGTAATCAATTAACTTGTTGACTACGAAGCAAACTGGTAAATTATGAATCAACACATTAACTTTAATATTGATCAACTTTAAAGGTAAAGTATGATTAGTATGATTATTTCGTAATTGAGTCATAATAAAGCCAATGTTAATTAAAAATTTATCTTAAAACTTATAAATAAAGGTTTAAGTTAAAGAGATACATGATTTACATTGATTGTTGCAGTAATTGTTAACTACCAATGTTCAGCTGAATTTGGCATTAGAATGTTTACTATACAAGTATCCTTCAAGTGGTTTGTATGAACAAGTTGACCCAACACTTGGATTTATAGACAACTTTTGGACTTTAGACGACACAACACAGCTTAAATCATTGACCTTGACCCTCACACCTGAAATAAAAATGATTCTAATTGGCAACGATACTAATCGCATGAAAAATAATTTTTCTCCTATATTTTTTTCAAATTTCATGAATTGCAATTCGAATCAACAATCGTGGCTTGAACCTCAACCTCCATATATCGCTTTTTGCCAGGGTTCGCTTTTGCNAATCCACGAGTTTAATAAAAATGAGAAATACGAAAGCAAGAAGGCTTGAAGTTCAGCAGAGATGGTGAAAACAAAGAAGAGTGTTGGCCAAATGCATTTGAAAGGAGTAAAAATGGTACACGAAATTGAACAGGAATTAGGGTATTAGTTGCAGATAGAAGAAACGAAACTAAAAGAAACAAACCGAGGAACATAAAAAGCGTGTCTGCGACGGTGGATTGAATCGCTTCCTCGCTGCGATTGCGTTTCGGCAGAGAAAGGGCTTCCAAAGAACCTCTTTGTTCTGTCTTTTGTTAATTTATGCTTCACCATTTATTTTCAATAATAATAATAATAATAATAATAATTATTATTATTATTATTATTATTATATACAAATTGTATAAAACAAAAATATTTAATTTAATCTGGTCAAAGTTATCAATTAAATTTATTGACTTTTTATTTTTGTGAATAATCACATGATTCTCTAAATATGACTTTTATTATGTTATTTATTCATATAAATAATATGACTAAATATTGAAAAATTGGCAATATTAAAAATTTGTAAAAATTGAAATACTTGATTTAACTTTTTATTAACGGTATGATTAAATTGAATAAAATAATAGTAGAATAACAAATAAATCATTAATAATAGTTCACTATATTTCACTTTTCACTTATTTGGAGTATTTTCTTAATCTAAACAATTTTATTATCTCAATTAATCTAAACAATTTTATTATCTCAATTTTGTTTCTCTTTTTTTTACTCTTTTCCTTTTCATCCTTTAATATAAGCAAAATAGTTAAAAAAAATTAAATAATATTAAAACATATTTTTATAATACTAAAAATTAAATAAAATATAAATTTATAGATTTTTATAATTTTGAACATATAAAATTAATAAAATGAATTATCATAATTAAATTAAAATTTTGAAAACATTTATCAATATAATAAAATAAAAATAAAATAAAAAATAATATAAATTATTTTTTTAAAGATTATTATGAAAGAAGGTGTGAAACTAACTTTTTTAATTAAATAAAAATGTATTATATGACCATTTAGTTAGTCATCGATCAACCATACTCAAATTATTTAATGAGTCATCAGTTAACTTATGGACTACGAACTATATTCAGATTATTTAATGAGTCATCAATTAACTTGTTGACTACGAAGCAAACTGGTAAATTATGAATCAACACATTAACTTAATATTGATCAACTTTAAAGGTAAAGTATGATTAGTATGATTATTTCGTAATTGAGTCATAATAAAGCCAATGTTAATTAAAAATTCATCTTAAAACTTATAAATAAAGGTTTAAGTTAAAGAGGTAGATGATTTACATTAACTGTTGCAGTAATTGTTAACTACCAATGTTCAGCTGAATTTGGCATTAGAATGTCTACTATACAAGTATCCTTCAAGTGGTTCGGATGAACAATTTGACCCAACACTTGGATTTATAGACAACTTTTGGACTTTAGACGACACAACACAGCTTAAACCATTGACCTTGACCCTCACACCTGAAATAAAAATGATTCTAATTGGCGACGATACTAATCGCATGAAAAATAATATTTCTCCTGTATTTTTTTCAAATTTCATGAATTGCAATTCGAATCAACAATCGTGGCTTGAACCTCAACCTCCATATATCGCTTTTTGCCAGGGTTCGCTTTTGCNAATAAAGTTTTTTCTTATTTTAGTCCTCATACATTTTTATTTATTATTAACACCTATTTTATTGTTTGTTGGAATCTTTAAGTGATAAGTTGTTCTTTAAATAACTATATCACGAATTGGATAACTCGTTTTTTTTTTTAATTATTTTACTTTTAAAAAAATAATCATTATAGTTAAAATAAGAACATTTCAACATAAATGAAATTAAACGAAAATAAAGACTAACATGTATATGGTTTTTTCTCATATCATTCTTCAGTTTATCGTCAAATAGGAAATGTTGAAAGAAAAAAAATACTGCAAACGTTAATCGGAGAAAAATAACATTGTTTACATCATTCATTAATTCTTGTTTTAAAAAAATTAATTAGTATTTTAATTCTAATATTTGTGATGTTAATTCAATGTAATCTTTTAATTTTTTTTCTCAATTTAATCCTTATTTTATTTTAAAAAATTAATATAATATATTCTGTTAACTGAAAAGATAACCACGTATGAGTTGAAATTTTCTTCTCTCTAACGACCTTCCCTCCTTGAGGTGTATATATATATATATAAACCTAAGAAATAGTCGAGAAAGAAACAATTATAATATTGTGTCAAAATAGAAGAAATAATTATAGCTAAAGATAGAATTAACCAGGACTAAAAAATCAAGCTATGAAGGTTCCTTACAAAACTTCTTTTTTGGAAAATCCTTACGAAACTTGGGTCTTCTTTTTTAAGTGCCACCAACACCCCACTATGAATCAAAAGAAAACGACACAAAAGATTATCTTTAGGCATGATTATATACCATGTATGAACTGAACTTCATCAGTAGTAGTAGCACGACGCAACAAGCCTTGATTCTAGCCAGAAAAAAGAAAAACATATATTTACATGAATTGTAGACCAAACGAAGACTTCATTCATCTGCAACATGCAGATTATACTTTCTCGCCAGACGATGGGCAGTTTTATCAGCCATAATACCATCTATCATCTTGAACTTTTTGTAATGCACTTTAAGCGTTTCTTCCTGCTGCTTTGCAAGCTTCTCTTCCTCGTCTAGTTGCAGCTGAACAAACACAAAAACACACCCAGAACCCACTTCAGGATAAGATAATGTAACTATCGCTTAACGTAGACATTATCAAACATTTTTGTGATTAATAGCGGGCAATAGTTTCGGGCACTATTTTGATAGAAGAGAAAGAAGTTTATTTAGCAAGATGGTCATCCGTACTAATAAAAGAGTCTTCTATAGGGAGTGAACTAGTGCTGTGTTTTTAGATAGTTCGTAAGAGGTCATAGGTTCAAACCTGAATGCTATCATTGTAAATAAATAAATAGAACGTGTGTAACCAGAAGGATAAAACAGGGATATGCTTTCATATCAGTTTTGCACATAATTCTACTGTTTAACGTAGCATTCTTTATTCAAGACAACATAAAATTCAGACACGACAATTCTTCTAAAAAGTGATCTTGTCTACAAATCGTAAGTAAAGGGGTATCGCCCTTTGATTTAAAGCACATGAAAATATTATAATATGGGCGACCTCTGCCCTAGGATTCTTACCTCGCAACAATCCTTGCCCTCAATCTTAATTTATTAAAATTCAAGCACATTCAAACATACTTCAAAGACACTAACTTTCAAGATTCTCCCACAATCACATTTTAAACACGTGAATTTTTCATTTCAGTAATAATTCCAAATTGAGAACAATGACATGTAGTTATAAAGAATTAATATGCATTATATTAGAGAGAGTGGTTATATCCGCTTTCTTTGAAAATAAATTGTTCGAATCACAAACTGAAGGAACATAAAAACTAAAGCTAAGAGGAAGACATAACGAGGGCCAATCTTACACACTTAGAAACAAATCAACCAATATTTGAAACAGTTTATCTGATTCCAGCTCATCAAAAAATAAAAAATAAAAAATCAGTCTCTGGTATGTTTAGCACAAACAACAAAAGTCTTATTCTACAACTTTATGTTATGTTTAATAACGACAGATTATCTTTCCATCCTTAAGTTTCTCCAACGTCTAACTTTGTACTGGATATTTCTGTTATTTTAATTTCAGTATAAATTCCTCTACATCTTCACAATTTATAAAGGTTTGTGTTAACAGTGCATAAGAATTAAGGATCACTTGTTACAGCACCATTTCCACCACTATGTTCCCATAAAGTTACTAGTAATTACATACACTCACTATAGAAATGCTTAACACTACTGCTAACTACTCTTCTGTTAAGGAAAATGTTGACAGATTGACAGAAGCACGCATTTCGCACGACACCACAAACTTGCATGAACATTGCAAATAAAAAACTCATTTGAAAATAGATTTTCCTCACATCAACTCCTGGAGACATACTCAGCAAATTCATTAATTGAAATATTAATAGTCGTAAGAGCTACAAAAAAATTACCAGAAATGAACTTACTTTGCGTACAAATTCTATTTCTGCAGCATGTTTGCGTGTAAGATTCTTTAGTTCCTTCGCCACCTCAAAATCAGGTTCACTTGGCTTCAACCAACGTACCTTAATCTTTCTGTTAGGCTTTATTGGCCGATCATCAAACATTTCCATCACAGCAGGCTGAGCCCTTACTGGCCGTGGCATCCCAGACATCATAAAAGAATATTGTCCTACCATTGATACAATTTCCTTGACCTTTTTGGCAGAATCTAATTCTACTAATGCACATTGCGGAAGATTGCTAGGTCCAAAGTAGTTGGGAATAAACTTGACATTTTTTACAGTGGCAAACTGGTCAAGGGCAGTTCTTATCACAGATTCAGTGACCTGTGGTGACAGGTTGTCAAAGTATACTGTCCTACTAACTTTCTGTTCAAATGCAGAATACTCTTCTGCTGACGATTCCATGCAACGAGTGAATAAAACCTAAAAACACATATTTCAAACTTTGGGTAACTAAATGCGTATACCATAGGAAACACATGAAGATAATGGTTTCTTTTTTATTCCATCACCAATGCAAGTTACTTCAAAGCAGAAGGGCTCAAAGTTTTTCAACAGTAGTTAAATTAATTGATCATTTTGATATGGCACAAAAACAATATTTTCTCTAAAATGTAAAACATATTAATATAAATATAACTCTCTTCAGAAGTATGAGCTAATATGGAATTAAATTAATTATAAAAAACACACAAAAATGACATTTGTTTGAAGAACATCTGTGTTGCAATTGAGGAAGAATAAGGACGCAAAAATTGTTATAAAATCTTGTTAACTTTCCAATAAAGAAACTCATTATTACATATGCTCCATTCCCGAGCATTACAGATTAGATATCACTTGTTTACTAATAGTGATGATATGCAGAGTCAGGGTGGGTCCAGTTTCCAAGAGAGATTAAACCAATCAGAATAAAATATTTAAATCCAAAAAGATTTCACCTAAAAACCTATGTGTTAGCTTTCCCAGGACACAAACAGCAGATGGTTTCATGTTCTATAAGTCAACTCATCAAATAAACAGAATACACTGCTATAAAGGAGACATCAACCCAGCATATCAGCTTCCCAAATCCCATTGATGGAAGCCAAAAGGAGACAATACCAACCAAATTTTAAAGAACAAGTTTAAGGCATTACTGAGCAACACCAATGTCAACAGGTAAATCATATAATCATCCATGAGAGATCCCAAAATCCACTTCAAGAAGCCAAAATCTCAAACTTACAAAACCAAAAAGCATCTGAAGAGTTTGATATTGATGTGCAACCTGAATTTTTCAAACATAACCATTGAGCAAAACAAGAACTCTCATGGGAAAAACGAGCGAATAAACCAAAGTTGTCATAAAAGTTTACCCAAGAGAAAAATAGTATTTAAAATGACAAAACTTTGATCAAGCTTCTCATATCAAGTTCTCTAGCCAAATGCTAGACACAATTTTCTTTCATAAGTTTTATAACACATAATAAATGAACGTAATTTAACATTAGAAGAGCATCCCCACATCATTTGATCTCCAAGAGACTTAGTTGCCAGAGATAAAAGTGCCCAGACGCACAGAAACCCATCACCGTTGTGCTGGCTCAAGAGATAAACTAGGTTTGGCTTGAGAGAGACAGTGAGAAATGACAGCTTTCGATTGATTTTATAAGCAAAAATAATTTTTCAAAATTGAAATTCCAAAAACATGCTGTTACGTACCTGAGTACGTGAACTTGCCACTCACAACCTTTCACACTCCCATAGGCAATAAACAATGGTATTTGACTGAATAAAACTCTATTAAATGGAAATATTGGTATCACAATAAACATCCAATAACTGGGAGCAGGGTCTCCGTCAGTTACCTGAGAGCCTAACCTCTCTGACAAAACTCCTTAATCAAAACTGCCTCAACCCTAGGTTCCTCCTTTATTAATACTAATTACTCCTTCCCAAAAAGGTAAAGAATAATAGTAATTATGCCTATTTATTATAATTATCTGGTAATTATCTGGTAAGAATATTATCCTGAAGTACGTCCTTTTTCTCTACTCGCTTAGGACGCTCGTCATCGCTCTACTCGCTTAGCCCTCTTTTTCTCTTCCCCCTACCGTTCGGTCATCGTGCTCCCCCTTTCCATCGTTCGGTCATCGTGCTCCCCCTTTTAACCATTCGGCCACTGTCCTCTACCGTACGGAACCCTTCTCTCTCTCCTATATCTTCTTCTCTCGTAAACTGGCCAGCCCCTAACACATGCTCTGACAGTGGTATTCAGGGGCTCTTTTAGAATAAAAAACATAGCACTACTATCCGTCTGCTACAGCTGCCATTGGCACTGTACTTACACTAGAGCATACTATATAAAACCCATGTTTAAGGGCCTGTTTGGATAAATAGCTTGAGTAAAACATAAGCTAACATAAAACTAACATAACATTTGTCAATCCCATAACAATATAAACACTCATTTCTTATATTCGAAAAAAAAAANATGATTCTAATTGGCGACGATACTAATCGCATGAAAAATAATATTTCTCCTGTATTTTTTTCAAATTTCATGAATTGCAATTCGAATCAACAATCGTGGCTTGAACCTCAACCTCCATATATCGCTTTTTGCCAGGGTTCGCTTTTGCTTTAGTCGTCTTGTATTTTTGTTAACTTGGTCGATCGACCTTACTTTTTGTACACATTTGGACAAATTAATGAAACATTATTCTTTCATTTGTTGTCTTCTTATAATTGCTTCTTACTTGCTAAGCTTTCATTGAATCATGCGCGATTGTTCTGATGGCTTTACTAATTGAGTAATAAGTTTCCTGAAATCGATCGGATAAGTCTATTATTTAAATCTTTATATTGTTGTGTGAGATTAAATTATATAGTATTAACTCGCTCATCATGTGTCCAATGATTGATAGAGGAAGTAGTTATGGTCAGAAAATTCATTGTGGTAGCTTTGTGTTCCACCCATTGCTCGATCAAGACCACAAATCTACTAGCAAGTATACTAGGTTGATGTAGTAAACAAACATCATATCCACAGGAATTTGGTGAAAATAATAGTGTTAATTTTTATGTAAAAGGAGTGAGAGTGTTGTCATGTTAATCTAGAAATCAATCTAAGCTATCAAAGAAGTGATTATAGTATTAAAACAATGTTGGAGTCTGATTTAACAGATCCATCCTCTCTTGCATTAGATCTTCCTTCAAGTCTGCAGCTTCACGTGATCAAGTCCTGGGAGTGCTCTTTATGGTACTACAAGCCCATCCTGGTACCAGGAGAGTAATATCTTGCCTATTGTCCAGTATGCAACCTAACAGTGACCGTGTACGACTCACATGCATTACGAATAAGACTTTATTCCAACTGCACATCTCTGGCCTATTTCATCAAGAAACACAGAGGGAAATTGATTGGACCACAACTCAAGACTAGATGCCACGCCTCAAGCCAGTTAAATATGAAAAGTGATCAGTTCATCCCAAAATCAAGCACAAATTAATTAACTACTTTAAATCAAATAAAAACTACATAAATGAAAGTGTCACCAAATACAAGAGAGTTTAAATCTGCTACATCATTCTCCAACACATGGAGATTTAGCTCCTCATGAAGATAGAAAAAATTACAAGCAAGGAGGAAAACATCTTCTTATCTTTTAAGGATGTATCTTTGAAGTACAAGGATTATGTAAGAAACTCGAGTCTCTCTCTAAAATCACCCTAAGAGGGCTAAGACCGAAGTCTAGTTCCCTTATGGATCTCTCCAACTTCTTTCTCTCCCCTTCTCAAAATTTGTCCAAGATGCTTGTATTTATAGACTTTTCACAATACAACTCAAGCGGTGGCTCACGGCTCTAGTGCTAAGGTTTCCTTCTTTGGTTGGTTTCCTCTGTTACTTAGGTTATGAAGATCTAGGCTCGAGCTATGTGAGATTGCTTAATAATGAAACACTCTCCCATGGCTGAAGCCTTAGTTAATGGCTTAAGGAAAACATCTTTGGTGAGTTTTCTTCTATGGTTGAACATAGACAGTGGACTTCTATTCCTAATATAATAACACTTATCGAGACAGTATAATAACAATATAATAAATAATAATAGAATGATAAATAATAATCAACATATCAAATTACCATAATTTACATATCAAATTACCATAATTTAGTTATGATATTAGAATATGAGTTGGATTGTTTAGTAATGAAAAGATTTAAAGAGTCGTATTGAACGGCACTCTTTAATATACATATTGGAGCATGAAGGAATAAGTTCAAAAACTATGTAAAATAGTTTACTTTGATTAAAAATTACAAGAAAGAAGAGCAACAAAATTTTTAAAACTCTAAACCTACCACCAAAAACAATCAGTAGCATGCAGACCCCTCCCTAACGAGACAAATATTACTGTTAAAAGAGATGAAAGTGACAGAGTTGGCACAAATGGCAGGCCTCGAACATTGTGACTTTGTTTATGGAATATTGATATGATCCTCACATATAAACCCACAAATAAGACACACCGGGCCAAATACAGAAGCATGTGCGTAGACATTCTACACGAATAATTTTATACCAGGTAGCAGCATTACGCCTGCAGAATACAGTGTTTTTCTAATTATAAACACTAATATATGTATACAAAATTGTTAATCAATATTTCTCAGTCCATGCCACAATCTCAGAAGACATACGCAGCTAAACATGTGAGACAAAAATTTCATCTATATGCAATGATCACCTAAAGCTGATTGTTGTAATTTTTCATCGTTCTTCTTTACATCTTTTCATCTTAATCTGCACCTCATTGAGAAAAAACCATACACCAGATGGGTTCTAACTGTGAAGAGATTAATGGTGAAGAAAATGATCCATGCCTATCTGCTATGCTTCTAAGCTTCAGCCCAATGGTTTACACTGCTGTGTTGAATGCTGCCATTGAGCTCAACTTGTTCGAGATCATTGCTAAAGCAACAACAACAACCACAGCCCCATTTGGCGTTTCAGCTTCTGAGATTGCTTCTCAGCTTCCAATTCAGCACAAAAAACTGGCCCAAAGGCTTGATCGCATGCTGTCTGTTCTTGCAAGTCACTGTCTTCTCACTTGCTCTACACTCACAAATCAAGATGGTAAGGTCCAAAGACTCTTTCAGCTTTCAGCTTCCGGAAAGTACTTCATCAATGCAGAAGCCACTGCTTCTTTGGCCTTGTTCACAACGTTTATGAATCATCCAAAGCTTGTTCAGGCATTGTAAGCAATGTTCCTACATGCAGTTAATTTAGTTACACATTTTGACAGTTAATTTGAATCAGATTCTAACTTGACCAAGTTGGTGTATTTGATGTGAATTAGCCTTAATTTCAAGGAGATACTTCTTGACTGTGATAAGGGCCTATACATGAAAGTTCATGGAATGCCTATTTTTGAAGGCATACAATCTGATCCAACATGGAATCATATCTTCAATGAAGCAATGGCCAATATATGCAGAATAGAGATGACAAAGATACTTGAAATATACAGTGGATTTGAAGGAATATCACTGCTTATTGATGTGGGAGGAGGAGTAGGGCAAAGTTTGAATATCATAATCTCTAAGTATCCTTCCATAAAGGGTGTCAACTTTGATCTTCCACAAGTAATACAACAAGCTCCACCTTATCCAGGTATTTTGATCTTGATATTCATCTCTCACCTTAATTAACTACTCATATATAAGTAATTACAATGAATGAAAATTTTCATTTTCATGAAGGAATTGAACATGTTGAAGGAGACATGTTTGAAAGTGTTCCAAAAGGTGATGCCATACTATTGAAGGTTAGTCTAGATACTAGCATAAACCTATTAAAACTGTGATTAAGTTAATCTAATGATCTTAATAACCATTTGTTGTGTGGTTGGTTATGATTTTAGGGCATATTGCACAATTGGTCGGATGAAAATTGTTTGAAAGTTCTAAATAATTGCTACAAAGCATTGCCAGAAAATGGAAAGGTGGTTGTTGTAGATTTCATAATGCCTGAAGCAATTGGTTCTTCTGAAGCAGATAAGATGGTTACTAGCTTTGATAACCTGATGTTTCTTGATGGAGGAAGTGAAAGAACAGAAAAAGAGTTTATGAATTTATGCCAAATTTCTGAATTTTCTTCTTTCAGAGTTGTTTCTCGTGCCTTTACTGCTCTTGGAGTAATGGAATTTTATAAATAATTAATATGTAAATTTTCTCATGCATTTCATAAGAGTAAATTGCATTTTCCTTGTTAAAAACTCCTTGATATATTTTAACATATAATGTATGACATTTTGTTTATTATAATTCGTTTCTCTGTGATGAAAGACTAATATTACAAAAGAGAAAGATGATAATAACTTAATGGATTTAAGGGTGAAGTAAAAGAAAATGTGAAAATCAAAACATGAGAGAGCAGATACTATAATTTTGCAAGAAAAAAAAAAGTGTTCAGTGGTATATTGTACCATGATAAATAATCCATTATGTGAATGAGTTGTTTTTTAAAATAAGGTAAAAGTAATATAAAATATGGTCAATAATGTTGCTAAAATAAATAACTTAAAAATATTCTTTTGAATAATAATTTATTTTTTACTATTTTATAATAATAAATACAAATAATCTTTCATCTCACTAATTTTTAAGTAACCAAATAAATATATTTTTTCTGTTCATTTCTTACAATATAAATATACCACCTTTTGTTTTTCATTATTAATAATAATAATAATATATGTTTTTTTTACCACTCATTTTAAAGAACGACATGAAGAATAACAAGAAAGCAGATAAAATGGTTACAATCAAATAAATGGAAGAATTGTTACAAGCAAATAAATGTTACTACTAGTGCACTATTTTTCTTTTATAAACACTACTACAAATACAAAAACACGTGTAACGTCACGCGTTCAATGTCAAACCACTAAATAACCAATGTTAAAAAATGACCGGTGACAGTTTTGTAAATAAATGCAATTATTAATCGTCGTTTATAATTGTAATTCGACGTAAAAGGATATAAAACGTTGAATGCCACAAAATTAGACATCAAAAGGTTAGTGAATTTAATAAAAATTTGAGCGGGAGATTGAAAATTCATTCACTTTATCTTAACGCGCGAGACGCTCTTCTCTTCTCAAACTTTTCTCGAACGAAATTTGACGACCATCACATGTAATCTTTCTTTCATTTGATACAAATGCATGTTAATTAACTACTTTATGTATGATTTTCGTTTGTTTTGATCGATTATTTTCGTGTTTTTGTCCTTCATATGTGCATTATGCTTTCTCTCTCACGGGTAACGACACTTTATTCCGACGAATCCAACTTTTGAAGGTTAGTTTTCGTTTTCGTTTTGAAGAACTTATTTTTTGAACTTGTTTATTGTTTTTTTTGTTGAACTTGTTTGTTGTTGTTTCGTTGAACTTGTTTGTTGTTGTTGTTTGGTTGAACTTGTTTGTTGTTGTTGTTATTTGATTGAACTTGTTTGTTGTTGGTTATTGTTGTTTGTTGTTGATACTACAGTACACCTTCATAGTTCTTGCATTGTTAAATACCAAAAACTGAAATTTGTTGTTTATCTGCTTTTCATGTCTCCTAGAATTGTAAAAAAAATCACAATTAATTAAAAAAAAAGTTGATTAACGTTGAATTTTTTAAATTCGACGTCAATTTAACGTCTCCTAATACAACGTCGTTCGCGAATTCGCCATTAAAAGCCCAAAATATTCGACGTTGTACACGACTTTTGTATTAGTGAAAGAAAAGTTAAAAATAAAAAAATAACTTAGAGGTATATTGAATAGCTACATATTATTCACTTACTTAATGAAGAACTTTAAATAGATAAATACAAATTATTAAATGTTAGAAATTAGGAACCTACTACCAACTGAAAATAAAATTATAAGAGTAATAANATAAATATGCATTTGTGCTTCTCAAACCTAACTATACGAAATGTAAATATTGAAAGACAAAAAATCAAGTGATAATAACAAGAAAAATATCGACCATTGATCTAAATACAGTTTCAACCAAAAATAGCAAAATCATACAAATAAAAGTTAAAGTAAAGGTTAGGCAAGACAAGACAAGTGTGATAATAACATGAGAAATATCAACCCATTAATCTAAATACAAATTTAACAGAAGATATCAAAATCATATAAATAAAATTTAAGGTAAAAGGTTAAACAAAACAAGTGTGATAATAACATGAGAAATATCTAGGCCTAGATCTAAATGTGAATTTTAAATTTAAATTCTTTCCTCTTTTGCAATAAATTATCGACCATAAGACTTTAGGTGTAGAAATACATTTTATTTTAGGGAATTTAAGATGTATTTAGCATTTACATATCAAAAACAACTTTTAAATATTGAATGAATTGAGAGAATATCTAAGACATCTTTGAAGCAGACAAAATTGAGAGTTAACTCCTTACTTGAATCTTATCTTAAATAAAGTTTATGATTTCATACTTTGTATGGAAGAAATAGCCATCAAAGTCTAAAAATAAATAAATAACTATTATATATACTCGTGGCACACGAGTGTTGCAAAATTTCACAAGCCATGCTGCGAGACAGAAGGCGGTGCACGTTTTAAATATAAGACAAAACATCGATTCTCTAAACGCTAAAATATAGTTTTATATTTTACAAAATAAATCTCTATATCTCTATATACTTAAAATATAATTTATTCCGTCCTTACAAATTAAGTAAACTATATGATAACGTATATTAAAGTTAGGCTTAATACTTTATTTTGTCTCTAAAATTAGTCCATTCTTTAAAAAGTACGTCAATTACGTATTTACTTAATAAAATTTATATCAATAAAATCTTTTTTCTGTACAAACAGCGTTAATAAAAAAGAGAGAAAAATAATTAACATCGTTTATACTGGATTTAATTGAAGGGATTTCATTGATATAAATTTTATTAAACAAAAATATAATTGACGCACTTTTTAAAAAATGGACTAATTTAACATTATAAAGCGAAACTGAGACAAAATAGAGTATTAAACCTTGTATACACACCTGATTGAATTCAAACGGTCATAATCATTAAAACAATATGATTGGATTATTAATATTTTTTTAATAAGTTATCAAAAGAAAAATATAATTTGATTATTAATATTTTAAAAGAAAAAAAAAAGTCTCCTTTTAGGTTTTGTGTTCCCTTGTGGGTAATAAAGAAATGAAAAATAGTAACAAAAAAAGGTGTCTCTTTATAAAGGTGAACACCTTATCAAAGCACAACATGTTACAGTAGAAGAGTAGAAGAGCTAACAACAATGGCTGTTCCTCTTACGTTCTTGTTCCTTTTCTCTCTAACTCTGTTCTCCCAACTTCACACGTCGTTTTCTCGCCATTCCCACATCGAACTTCCATCAGAAACTCACCGTTCTTCGCAGAAACAGACCCACCTTCACTTCTTCTACCATGATCTTCGAAGCGCCAACAACCCCTCCATCGTGCAGATCGTGAACCCCCCCAAGAACCTCCCCAACGGCTTCGGCTCCACTTTCGTCATGGACGATCCCATGACGGAAGGCCCGGACCTCGGCTCCAAGCCCATTGGGAGGGCCCAAGGGCTTTTTGGCCTCGCCTCTCTCAACGACCTGGGCATGTACATGCTCATCAATTTCGCTTTCACAGAAGGGGACTACGCCGGAAGCTCCTTGAGCATGCTCGGCCGGAACCCCATAGCGGAGCAGGACAGAGAGATGCCCATCGTGGGTGGCACCGGCGTGTTCAGGTTCGCCACTGGCTATGCTATAGCCAACAGTGTCGATGACCTTTCTACCCCTGAGCATTTTGTGGTGGAGTACAATCTCACCGTGCGCCATGGATAGTGTCATGTACCAGAGTTTTTCTAGGGTTTTAGCTTCATCTTTCACCTCTCACATGCTTTTACGTTTCATCTACTGTATTTTTATTGCTGATGGTACTGTAGCTACTCTTTGGTTATTCAGAAATATCAGTTGCTTATTCCAACTTCTGAGTTTTTTGGATTCACTAAACATAGTTTTTGATTTGGATTTATTTTATCAGAAGATAATACCTTATAATATTTTATTAAGAAATAAATTTTAAACTTAATTCAATAACCGACTTATAAAACTTGAAACATGATATTTATATTTTTTAATGTTTCAGATCATATTTTTAATTGATGTAATATTTCTAGCAAAAATCAATAATTATCCAATTTATTGGAAATCCATGGAATAAAGATAAAGCTAATAATCTTAGGAACAAGTCGGTTATGTTTAAAGTTCCATTTTTTAATAATATTTAAGGATTCATCACATATAACAGAAAAGAACACGTTCCTTTTCATCGTGTTTACTATTCCAAATGTATAAGTAAATTCAAATCTTACTAATAAACAGATTTTA